TGCAAATAACTATACTTCTACAATATGTAGTGAAGTGATATATTTTCCACTTGGGTGTTGAGTGAGGCTTTGTTGATTTAAAATCCAAGCCATATCCTCCACTTTGAGATGATACAAATTCTCCTTTCTCATAATTATGGGTAGTGATTATTCCACACGGACAATGACAATGACGTATTGTCTCTTAAAATTAACCAACACACACACTTGTGTTTTAAAATTCTTAAAGAGGAACTACGTTTACCTTGATCCTCTATTGCATGGAAGGTGGTACGTAGGCACAAAAGTTTCACAACCGCGGCGGGTGCAAAAATCATAAAAAATACTTCTTTTCTCACCACCATAATCTATTTTTATACAACATTTTATAGCCAAAATATACATATTTTACAAAGAGGTTCCTGCGGAGTACCGTAGATGTTTAGGGTGCTAATACCTTACCTTTGCATAAAAAACCCCCTTACCTAGAACCTTTCTCCCCTCTTTTTGGTTATTCTCTCTTTTCCCATTCCTTTGGAAACAATAAAGCGCGGTGCTGATTTTTATTTTGATCTGTATAAGTCAAGTCAATCCAATGGCTTAGTGTTAACATTTCTACCACTACAAAAAGCAACTGATTAGAAGCTCTTTCCTTCTGAAAAGAAGAAAAAGGTGTACATGTTGAAATTCATGTTACAACATCTTGGAAAATGTAATAAATATTAAAATTAACTTCAGTCTACTTGGAAATGTCACTACTATGGTGAGTCTTGTCATATAAAGCCTTTCTGTTTCAAATTGTATGGAGATCAAAGAACTCCGATTTTCTCCAAGGCTAATACATTGAGAAAAAAGAGAAGTGTTGAAAATAAGGATGTTAACCTTATAGCACATACCTCTTAGAGAGACTCAACAAGTGAAGACTAGTACTTTGACAGCGGATGCCCTAGAAAAATGACAAGGGTCCAAAAGATGTTGGTGGATGTTAAGCCACATCCCACAGGTTCTATTAGATTTGGTGATGGGTTTAATGGAGAAATCAAAGGAGTTGGAAAGCTGATGTATGATGGATGTCCCAGGTTGGAAGATGTGTTGTTTATCAAAGGATTGATTTCTAATCTTATTAGCGTTAGTCAGTTGTGTGACCAAGGTTTGTTAGTCAACTTATCAAAATCAGAATGTCTAGTCAAAGATGAGAAAGAAGTTGATCTAATAAAAGGGGTCAGGTCCAGAGACAACTTCTATTTATAGGAATATCAAACAATTGCTTATTCGTCCACAGAAAGTTGGACATCTTCATTTCAAAATAATGAAGGAAGTCATATCTGAAGGAACCATTAGAGATATGATAGAGCTCGAGATTAAAGATGGAGAAGTATGTGATAAGTGTGAAAGTAGAAAGAAATTCAAGATGTCACACATAATGTTGTGACATCAGACTACTTCTAAAGTGTTGGAACTTCTTCATATGGATGTAATGGGACCATTACAGATAGACGACCTAGGAGGAAAAAGGTTTGTTTATATGGTTATATATATGATTTTTCTGGCTATACTTGGATGAATTTTATTAGAGAAAATCAAATACTTTTGAAGTCTTCAAAGGTCCATGTCAAAGCATTAAAGAAGAGAAAGAAAATGTGATTGTGAAAGTCAGAAGTGACAATGACACGGAGTTTAAGAATATAATTTTTTTCTTCTGAATTTTGTGATTCTGTAGGAATAAGTCATGAGTTCCATTATTCCTAGAAAACTTAGGGAGATGGAATTGTTGAGCAAAAGACTAGAGCAATACAGGAATCAAATAGATTTATTCTTAGTGTTAAGCAATTGCCTTTGAGCTTTGGGTTGAAGCTATGAATACTGCTTGTTATATTCATAACAAGGTTACTTTGAGAGAAGTTACGACTACTACTCCATATGAACTATGGAAAGGAAGAAAACATAAAGTCAAATACTTTCACATATTTATAAGTAAATTCCAAATCTTTGCTGACAAAGATCAAGTGGACAAGAAGGATCCCATGGGGGATAAATGAATTTTTCTGGGCTACTCTTCGAGTAGAAGAGCTTATAAAATTTATAACTCCAAAATTGGAATGAAAATGGAATCTATTAATGTGAAGATTGATGATTCAACTACTAAAGAGAAGGATGATGTCAGAGAAAATGATGGAACATCCAATGTGCAAACTAGTTAAGCCCCAAGAGAAGAGGCTTGTGAATTCACACACAGAGTTTGTGAATTCTCAACCCAAAACAGATCTTGTTAGACGATGACAACTGTATCTAAAGGGGGGGGGGGTGAATAGATATCCATTTTAAAAATATCCAAATAAAATTTAGTTTTGAAAACATTTTATCAAAGTATGACACGGAAGCAAATTGTCGTCTTTACGAACGTTATCGAGAAGCTCAGATATGCACACTGTAAATAAAAAATAATATGGAACGAGAATGATAGTGAATTACTAACCTCAAATCACTTTTCAACTTATTTACCAATAATCACTTTCACTTAGTAAGGCTATTTCAAATGATAAAATCAAAATAGCTAGTTTAATCAATTTATCAAACACTCGGTGTGTAAGTGAATTTTTAGAAATTTTCCTTTGATTATGTTGATACACAAAACCACTTATAATCAGAAGTGATTATAAGCTATATCAACACTCGAATTTAAAACAAAAATCAGTTGGAAAAATTCTTAAAATTCAAATGATAACACAATTCTATTTGATAAATCAATCAATGAAAATCAAACCAAGTAAAAGCTAAAATAAAAGCGACACAAGGAATTTGTCTTCACAGTTCCACATTGTCGTCCTCGCGTGTGGGTACATCTGCGCCTAATTCCAATGGAATTGGGATAATTCTTACTATGCAAATAATGTTGATATAAGAGAAGTGTTCAAGATCAACTCCACAAACCCTAAGCTTGTTATTGATTCAACCCCTTCTCCTCTTTTGATCTTGAGAGAGACCAAGACATAATTTGTGAGAAATGACAATTTGGATCTTGCTACTCCTTTGCATTCTTTATCTCCAAAGCTTCCGTGCATCGTCAATCTCAAACAATTATAACACAAAACTTCGATTCAATCCGATACTCCAAGTTACTTCCTTGCAAAGACTTCAAACACTCCAAGTATCATTGAAAATATTTTAAGCAATCTAAGGTTGTTCACTTTACCATAATTACCTCTCGAACGTTTTACACGAAAACCCTCAAATTAACCAATGATCTTGAAGGAAAAACCTGGAGTTTTCCTGGATGAAAACCTGGAGTTTTTCCTGGATGAAAACCCATACAAAACACCACCCAATACACAATTTGACACTAGAAATCCTCGTCTAGATGGCACCCAATGGGACATCGTTACAATGTAATGTCAGAGTGTATGCATAGATTAAAGGTTAAAAATGAAGAGATAAATAAGCTAATTTTATGGTTTTCAACACTCTTGAATGATGCATGAAATGATATATATAGTTTTGGAAAATTTAGGGCAAGGAGGGATAAATTTGGAATAAAGGAAATTAAAGGATTGACCAGGAAAAAACATTATGTGTCGACTCAAGAATTGTATGTGTCTACACATGCATTACTTTTGAAAAGAATGTGTCTACCTATAACTGACTATATGTTGACCGAAGAGTTACAGAAGCTACAGCCTTTAAAACAACAACAAATGTGTCGATCTGAAAACTGGATGTGTTGACACATAAAATAAGAATTTCTGAAATTTTAGAAAAGCTTCAGTATGTGTTGACCTATAAGATGTTTGTGTGGACTCAGAAGTTACATATGCTACATGCTTTAAAAATGAGTTGCATGTGTCGACACATGCAACGAAAATTTCAATAGAAACATGTTTTTAATGGCCTGACTCAATTTTTTAAGTGACTTCGAATGATTCCTAACCAACTTAGTGCTTTCAAATGATTAAGGTTCCAAACTCTATAATCAAAGATGATGTCCAATAAAGGAAATGCAATATTCTCGTATTTTTTATATCACTCAAAACACTTTAAGGAACCAAGTTTCAATCATAAACTCCCCCTTTTTGATGATGGCCAAAATGCAAAGATGTGCTTCAACAATGCTCCCCCTGGACATGTGCTTTCCTTCTTTATATTTTCATATGTCTTATCCCCCTTTAACAACATCAAAAAGAGACAAATTACATTGTTAGAAGTATCATATCCTTTAAATTCCAAAAAATTTATATCAAATTTCAGAGGCATATTTTCATAGATTAAGTGCTAATGAAATAAATACATCACGGTACATATGATAACACTACTAGGTTAGAAAATAGATATATAATAAAGAGAGTCATAAAAATAAAGTACACAAGAGTTTCACACATTGTTCAAACATACAACGAAAATTCAGTTACATAAAATAAAACAGACAAATGTTCTTAAGATGAAATACATGAAAAAGAATGAGAGACACAAATAACAAAAGATAAATTTCCATCATTTCCACCATGATGCCTTTGATAAGTCCTTCTTATTCTATGCATCTCCTCATGAAACTCAGTTGCGTCATCACTTTTCTAGGTACTTGATGTTTGAAGATGATTGATTTTTCCTTGGATATCACCATTTGAGACGTGAATGCTTTCATGGAGACCCATAAATGGTGTAGTAGTGGTCGAGGAAAAATCTTCAAAGTTTGAGTTCTGAGTATCCAACCTTGCATTTATTTACCTGAATTGCTCATTTTGAGCGTTTTTAAAATCAGTGCGCCATTATACCTCGTCCTTACGCCATTTGACATTCTCTTCATAACACTTATTTTGTTGGAGCTCCATATTTTAAAGAATAGTTATAATCTCAAAGTTGTTTCCAGTATCATATCCATAACCGTCTTGGTATGAACCATCGACATAATCATGGGAACCTCTAGCATAGCCTTGATAGTTTTCTCCCTGTGCAGTCAAAGATTGTCGTTGCCAATTATCACTCCAAGGCTGCTCATAGTCACGTTGTTGATTAGCTGTTTCATGTAACTAGGCTTCATCTTCCTCATGATTCGCATCGGCCATGGGAATGCCTCCATGTTGTCCTCCACTGATATCCTCAAGACCATCATCATTTCCTTCAGCTTCGACAACATCATAATATTCAGTAGGATCATCATAATTGTAAATTCTACGCCTTGTTATAACCACGTCAAAGTAGTGTTGTTATTTTTGTATAATCCCAATGAAATATCATAGTATGCATGGTTCTCTTGGAGAATTACAATCCAACAATTGGATAACTCATTCGAAGGCTTGGAAACCCAATGTTGAAGAAATTAGAATTTTAGCTATCATGGAAGGATAACTAAAAGCAGTTCCTTTGTTACACTTCTTGATGGTGAACATGTGGTTAAAAAAATAGAAAGGCCAAATGATACTTACCTTATTGAGGAGAACATACACAAGATGTATCTCAACATTATCGACCCTTGAAAAACCTCCACCCTTTGGATGCACAATGTGAGTGACAATCCAATGTAAAATTTTGGGCATCATTTTGAGACAGCCATAGTAACATTATCGTTATTGTTGTCATCACGTAGAGCCTTTAGTTATTCATTCGAATGCATCCTCCACTTGAAATCAGAGTGAACACTCGAATCCTTAACCTTTGGTTCTTTTCCTATGGTGAAACCAAAAAGAGATTTCCAATTGTCATTGGTGAAAGTGTATTACTTACTCCTAATCCTGAAGGAAAACTCAACAAAATTCTTCTTTTCTAGCCCGACATAGAAGATGCTAACAAAATCTTCATTTTATTGTTGAGTTAGTTGAAGAAATTAGGTAAAACCTTGGCCTTGCTCATCTATCCCGCTGATGACTTCAGGGATATGAAACACTTCATCCGTCCTTTTTTTGTAGTAATATTGCTTTGCCATAATTCTTCCACGACACTTTTTATCGAAGAAGTTCGTATTTTATTCATCAACCAGATCAAATACACTCTTAGATGAGTGAGAGGATGACCCAACTCACCCCTTACCTCGCCTAGCTCCCTTTCCTCTAGTCAACTTAGGAGCCATTTGCATACTTGCAACTTTTGGATATGCCTCCAAGGTGTTTGACACAATTCCCCAACCAAAACAGTTGGAGTTTTAGAGAAATATGCTATGTGAGCCAATGATATTGATGTTATGGTAAAGATAGATACAAAAAAATAGCAAATCATTATTTAATTAATACTATAATTAATGATGGATGCCATGAGTGCATGTACCTTGAACGTGGTTGAGCTTGAATGACAATTAAGTGGGAATAATGATGAGAGTGAATACAACTTTGAATTTGTGTATAGAATTGATGAAAGATTTTGGAAAATATGAGAGTTTTGAATGGAATTTTGAATGTTTTAATGAGAGGAATTCATTAGGGTTTTGAGAATATAAAAGGAATAAAAGAGTGTAGAAGGTGAAGAGAATGAGTTTTCAACCCTTTTAGAAAACACGTGTCGGCCTAAAATTGCAAATGAGCTGACCCATTCGTATTATGTGCTGACCTATAGTGAAGGATTAAAAGAGACTGACGAAAAAATTATTTTATGTGCCGACCTATGCTAATTATGAGCCGACAAATACTGATGGAATTTTTAAAATTTTTGAAACTCTTCAGTTTTACGAGTTGATGATGGACTCAATGATTAGACCTATACAAATTTCTCAATGTCCTATAAGAAACACTTTTCTCCTTGATTATGTAGTATGATTAATGCACATGCCATAAAATAATGTATGTACGTGAATTATATTTCTCAAATAAACATATGTATATCAAAGTATGGTAAACATAAGTAGATTGCACATTTAACCAACATTAGTCTAAACATGTAAATTAAAATAATCACAGATTCAATTAAAATTCTTGGAAGTAAACATAGGATCAATAGACATTTAACACGTGTTTCATATACATCGAGCATATAGATAGATGAGGAAAGTATCTTATTTTTAGAGAACATGATAAATAAAACAATACAACCTCACAGATAATACGGAGCAGAATCCGTAAGCCTATTCACATGGCGCTCAAGAACATGAGCATTAATCACTATACACAAACAAAGCACAAGTATGACCAAGTTTCATTATCCACATCTTTTTAATGATTTAAGATCCTTCATCAAAGAGATAATTTTTGATTTCTTTCATAACACATTCAATCATTTTGGAACTAAGTCATAATGATATGAAATGTAATCTTCTAATTGTCAAGATGAGACTTTCCATCTACATAATACTTTTGAGAATAGTTTACCTTGTTAGTGTTACCTTTTTGATGAGGATTGTAATGATGAATTTCATTTCTTATGGATGCTATAATTATTTTCTTCTTATCTTCAAGATAATGATATGAGAAACATATTTCGTCATACTTAGAGGATTTATGTCCCTTATTGCTTCTACCATTTAGATGAGTTGAGAAGCACACATTTGTTAAATTTTTTATCATCATTAGATTCTTCATCACTTGAGGATTCAGGATCACTTCCCCAAGCTACATATACTTTTCTAGGTTTGTCATGACTCTTGAGTTTGTTCCTCTTTTTCTTATTTTCAAATTTGGAGTCATCCTTTTTGGAACTTTTTTCTTTAGAGGATTTATTTTTCTTAATATCGTTTTTATTTCTCCTACTTACATGCTTGTGATACCTCTTGACAAATAAACTCATCTCTTCATCTTCTGAGATATAGTTGTTACCATCATTTCTATCATAATAATATTGCTCGTCCCTTGAGAATTTTGAACTTGAAGTCATGAGAGCTTTAGACTTCAATGCTTCCTCATTAGCGACCACTTTTTCTTTCTTCTTTTTCTCAAGCTTCTTTTCATGTTTATCTAAGAAATTGAGTTCTTGCTCATGCTCTTCTAACTGGCCAAACAATGTCATGAGATAGAGTGTAGCAAGATTGCTGGCTTCTTTGATCGCGGTGACCTTTGGTATCCAATTTCTAGTAAGACATCTCAACACATTGTTAGTAGCAATAGCATTAGAAATAGAATTGCCTAGTAAATTTAACAGATTAATAAGATAAGAGAACCTCTTTCGCATTTGAGCAATGATTTCCCCTTGCTTTATGCGAAAGAGTTCGAACTCTTGATTAAGCGTATTCATTATAGCCTATTTGACCTTATTAGTTCCCTCATAGGTAACTTGTAGAGCGTCCCAGATAGCTTTAGTGGTTTGACAATGGGAAATACGATAAAAACTTGTCAACACCAAGTGCGGATACGATGATGTTCTTTGCTTCCAATCATAAGACCACTTATCATCTTTCTCATCCCATAGGTTTTCCAGATTTGGTACGGTAACACCATCAACATCATATGTCACCAGTGTTGGTCCATCTAAAATAGCTTCCCAAACACCTTTATCATATGAGCTAACATGGATTTTCATACAAACTTTCCAATCATTATAGTTTTCTCTCGTGAAAATTGGGGATCTTTTATAACCCCCTTTAGATTCGTAAGCCATTTTCTAAAAAGTGTCGAAGCCGAAATGAATCGGGCTCATGATTCCAATTGTTAGACGATGGAAATGGTATCTAGAGGGGGAGGGGTGAAAAGATACCCCTTTTAAAAATATCCAAATAAAATTTAGTTTTGAAAACGTTTTATCAAAATATGACGTGGAAGAAAATTGTCGTCTTTGCGAACTTTATCGGAAAGCTCAGATATGCAAATCGTAAATAAAAACTAATATGGAATGCGAATGATAGTGAATTAATAATCTTGAATCACTTTGCAAATTGTTTACCAATTAATCACTTTCACTTAGCAAGGCTATTTCCAATGATAAAATCAAAATAGCTAGTTTAGTCAATTTATCAAACACTTGGTGTGCAAGTGAATTTTCAGAAATTTTCCTTTGTTCCCATTGAAAGGCAACATTTGATAGTGTCATCGAGGGACTATGATCTTGTATTTGATTGCTTTTTACTAAGATATCCCACATGCATAACATGGCCATTTTTGTAAGGCAACAAAGTGGAATTACCCTAAGGGTGCAAGTGTGCAAATGCGTTAGATTTACATGCTTGTTTATCTTGAATTAGGGTTTGCTAACTTATTGATTTTATCTTTCCATACAAACCCTAATTACTAGCATTGATATATAAAGCGATAAATTGCGGAATGTAAAAATACTAAGCTATTACATCATTAGGGGAGGGGGTATACAAATTTACAAATGGGGATTTTTTGCAAGAAAATTAAACCTAATTAACTATTACAACCATATTGAATAAATGTACAAGAATCGAATAAATAATAATGTACAAATGCAAATGGAAAAGAAACAGGACTTTTGATTGGATTTTTATGAAAGGGGTTTTAATCTAAACCTAATTAAAAAAGATTAGTTAAAAAATTAAATAAAACTAATTAAGAAAGCATTTAAATTAAAAAGTATTTTTTAGGTTTTTTTATGAAAAAAAGTTTTAAATTAAGGAAAAAATTAAAGTTAATCAATTAAAATAGACCTAAGTTCTAAATTAATTAATTATGAAAATAATAATATAATATAATAACTAAACCTAATTATATAAATATTAATTATAAAAAACAAAGTTAAATTCATGAAGAAAATACTTTTTTGGTCTTTTTGTATTTTTACAAAGAAAAATAAATAAATGTAAAAATAATAATAATAATATTTTTGGATTTTTTATTAGTAAAGGTAAAAATAAAATTAATAATATTAATAATAATAATAAAAATAATAAAGGAAATAAAAATATAAAAGAAAGAAAATGGGCCAGGATGTATGAAAATGAAACAGGGAGTATGAGATAAGTAAAATACCAGGACCAATAATAGGGTTCCCAGCGCCTGCCTTCGAATAAAAAAAAAGAGAGAAAATAAGAAAAAGAATCAAAAGGGTACCACTGGGGCTCGAACCCAGGTCCCTCAGGTTACAGGCGCGCACTTTAACCACTGGGATGGTGATACATCCATTAACTTAAACAAAACAACAAATATATAATATAAGTCTTGCCCTGAATATTTGAAATCATCTTCTTCCTCCTTCAAGTGCGCGCATACACCATGTCCGCCATTGTTAACCCTGTAACCTTCTCATTTCTTGACCATTTTAAAAAGAACAAACATGAAACTTGCTGGAAATTTCATCATCAGTTTAACCAAACAATTTAATTAAGCTAAAAAATCAAACGTTAAACATAATTTTGTTTTATAACAAATGCATTCCCTAACTAGTCAGAAGAAAAATTATCCAAGCACAAACAAGTGAAATGAAAACTAGGGACATGGTCAGCTTGAGGGAATAATATCTACATTTTTACTTCAGAATGTATGCACAAAGGATGCTTGTATCAAGATATTGAAGTTTGAAAACTTACCTCTTGCAGCTGGATTTGTGTATGGACTTTGAGTAAGTTTTTAAGGGTGAAGATGATCAGGTTAGCTTGCCCGAACCTCCCTGAACGTGTTGCAAGTCTTACTTTGCTTTGAGGATGGCTGAAATTCCCTACTCAAGTCAAGTTGCAAACTTGAGTTTCAAAAATGGTGGATGATGGAAATGTGATTACAGTCTTGAAACAAGGACTGGGATAACTTCTATATGTGTATTAGAAACTTTGTGTATGGTTTTGCCAAGAAACGCACGAGGGGATTTGGAGATTGGATTCAAAAATCAGAAATGACATGTTTTTATGCTGGTATGGAAATTTCTGGTTTTGGGGAGTTTGAGAGCTTGTAAAAATCGTGTGTTAAGTTGCATAAGAGTGTCTTGATATAAAGGAAAAGGTTTGGAGACTTGAGATGGTCAGAATCACAAAAGCACAAGTTATAGGATTTTTACTTGTTTTTGAAGCAAGCTTGAAACATCTTGTTCCAATGTGAAGTACAAAGCTTGTAGGGTGGTTGTAACCTTTAAGCAAGCTTGTTATGATCATGTAGGGGATGCTTGTGCATAAAGAACAAGTTCAATGCTCAAGTCAAGTTGACTTTGTGATTAAAGCAACTTTACTAGAATGGAATTGTTACTTTCTTCCCAAAATGGCAATTTGGT